CAGGACAGGAAAGTCCGACTGGAAACGCTCGCGGAGCTGGAGACGAACAGCGCGGATCCAGGGGATCAAAACAGCAGGGACGTCCCCCTTGCTCTGCAAGGGGAAGACCGTGGTGTAACGCGTGTAGTCGTCGACGACCAGCAGGAAGTACCGCTCGCGGCCCTGTCCCTGGACGCGGGCTGGGCCCCACACGTCCAGGTGGAGCGTCTGCAGTGGAGCCTCTGTGGGAGGAAACGAGGAGGAGTGAGGAGCGGCGCGCTGCCGCCCCTCGACGCAAGGAATGCAGGGCGGCGCAGGCGAGGGAGGGAGGGCAGGCAGGGACCTGGGAAGACCAGAGACCAGGGAGCGAGAGTGCATGCTACGCAGGCGAGGCAAGGAGGGGTGACCAAGGCGGTGGTGCCACAGGAGAGTGTCGTGCGACAAAGCGCGACACTCGTAGGGGGCCGCCAGCTGACCAGACGCAGACGCAAACGCAGACGCAGCTACCTGAGGGGACTAAGTGGTCAGTGTGTACAGACTCGAGCCAGGTGCACGGGTGAACGTGGCACGACACACTGAGGACTACGCTTGCGGCTCTTGGGTTTGCGCCTTCTACTGCTGACCCGTCGCTGTTTCTGCGCACCGACACTTCCCTGCCGCCGTTCTACATCCTCGTGTATGTCGACGACTTGGTTTTTGCCACTGCTGACACTGAGGCTCTCGCCCACGTGAAGTCGGAGCTGCAGAAGAGACACACGTGCACAGACTTGGGTGAGCTGCGCAGCTACCTTGGCTTGCAGATCACCCGAGACAGAGCACGTCGCACCATCACCTTGACTCAGTCACACATGGTGCAGCAGGTCCTTCAGCGCTTCGGCTTCACCTGGTCTTCAGCACAGGCCACTCCTCTGGCTACAGGTCACACGCTCTCAGCTCCACCTTCGGACGAGTCCGTAGAGCCGAGTGGTCCTTACCCAGAGCTAGTCGGCTGCCTCATGTACCTGATGACTTGCACTCGACCTGACCTCGCGTACCCTCTTGGTCTCCTGGCTCGCTACGTGGCTCCTGGTCGGCACCGACCTGAGCACATGGCTGCTGCTAAGAGGGTACTGCGTTACTTGTGCAGCACATCAGGCATGGGGCTAGTGCTTGGAGGGACGAGCCCAGTTGTCCTCACTGGGCACTCAGACGCTTCTTGGGTTGACGACCTGGCTACTCAGCGGTCGTCACAGGGTTACACCTTCAGCCTTGGCTCTGGTTCAGTTTCGTGGCGTTCTACACGCTCGACTTCAGTTCTCGGCTCCAGTTGTGAGGCTGAGATCTACGCCACCGCCATGGCTGCACAGGAGTTACGCTGGCTCACCTACCTGCTGACTGACTTGGGAGAGCAGCCTCGTTCTCCTCCAGTGCTGTACGTTGACAACAAGGCCGCCATTGCCTTGTGTGAGGAGCACAGACTGGAGCACAGAACGAAGCACATTGCTCTGCGGTATTTCCTGGCTCGAGAGTTGCAGCAGCGAGGCCAGCTTCGTCTTCGCCACGTGGCCACTCGGGCCAACACTGCTGACATATTCACCAAGGCACTTCCGTCTGGTGATCATCAGCGCTTTTGTACTCTGTTAGGCCTTGTGCCTACGTTTCCACACTTGCTGTAGTCTCTGCTTGTACTGTGATCTGTACATATATATATATATATATATATATATATATATATATATATATATATATATATATATATATATATATATATATATATATATATATATATATATATATATATATATATATATATATATATATGCATGCTGGCTCTTGCTAGGTAGCCATCACTGTACTGTTATTGCTGCATATATATCTCTGCATGTGAACTGGCCCAGTGGCCCTTTGCTTGTGCTCAGAATGCGTGGTGACGTTGTGATCCACCCTGAGCTTGTTTTGCTTCTCTTGACTGGTCGTGTGACCCCTTGTTCTCCCCCACTTTGCCTATGGGGGTGTGTCAAACTATATGTGCTGCATATTGTCTAGGCTGTAGTGGGGTAGCCCATATGGGGTACAACCTAGTTAGGGTTTACTACTTGTACTCCTGCATCCTGTTAGTTCATCCATTCCTGCTGCTAGATTCTAACACGTACGCCTCTTCGAAGAGCTCGAGAGCGCCAGCGGTGTCGCCGTGGCGTATCTTGTGCTCCGAGTGCTTCAGGTACGCGCGCAGGTCCTCCAGAAATTCGGCTTGCTCGCGTACCCCGGCGTGGTGAAAAGAAGAAGCCGGAATGGTGGGGTTGGTGGATGGGAGTGGAGGAAGATGTTCGGCAGGTGCAATAAAATTGTTGTGTGCATTAGCCTCACCCGCTTCGTCTTCAGAGTCGCTGTTGTCGTTGACGACGTTGGGCGCCGGAGCTGCAGCGTGTTCCCTTTCGGCACGAGGGACTTCGGGCACGCGGGGGTGACGTGCCAAATCGTTTCTTGCGTTTGCGTTTTTAGCAGATGCATAAATTGTTGTCGCTGTAGGCGTAACCGTCGGCGGCTGCTGCTGTAACAGCGCCAAAAGCGCTTGGACCTGGTCAGCAGTCAGCGTCGGCGGAGTCAAAGCAGGGTCAGCCGTCGCGTCAGACGAAGACCCAGTTCGGCGCCTCTGGCGCTGACGCGACGGTCCGGCCACAGGTGCTGGCGCGTGCTCGGCGTCAGGCGCGTGTGGCGCCATGGGTGCTGCAGGTGCCGCGGTCGCCACTTGCACCGCAGGCGCCACAGGCGCCACAGGCCCCTCTGGCGCCACAGGCGCCGCGGGTGCTGTTTGTTGGCGGTTTTGTTGACTTCCGCACTGCGCGTCAAAAGATCGACGCCAGTGGTCGCGATACATTCGTCATCCGCCCGTCGCTTGTTGCGGCGATCGCCCGAAATTTCACGGGCGTTCTTCTCGTTGTCCGAACGATTCGGGGCGTTGTCAGTCGGCGCCATTGAAGCTTGATTGTAGGTAAGAATGTCCGACAGCAGCGTCGAGGGTGAATGAAAACGTGGAAGGGTTTTCACCCTCGCCAGGTTGAGGTCCGAAAAAATCGGGAGGGGGTTGGAGCCTCCGACAAAATCGGGATCGGTCTCGGAACTGGGAATTGAACTTGAGCGATTGTAAAATGAGAGACGTGGGTGGGGGAAGAATGACCCCAGCCCACATTATATATTCGGAGAAGGCGAATACCGCGCTTCGACGATGCACAAATTGCGTTACAGTCAGCTTCGCTTTCACAATACGCAAATTTGAAAGCGATAAAACGCTTAAAAATTTTTTATATCTTGCTTGGAGGGATACACCAACAATGCTTGGTGCTACAGGCTTCAGGCTTCAGGGTTGTATTATTCTTGAAGGTCCATGGCTCAAACAAAACCAGTCAGACAACATCAGGGCAAAAACCTACTATCGCCTTGAACATTAGGATATCCGAATCTTTTACCCCCGTTTGTACCATGTCCTGTTGAGCACCAAGTTAGTAATTATGGAAATGCTGATTTTCAGTTTTCTTTCATACAGTACTAGCATAACAAGGTCAGCTCCTATCTTAACGCGAATTTCTATTCCGAGCGTATCGGCCCTAAAACCCCTGATCTGCCATCAGAGGTATCTGCGTATTCGGTACTAAATCAAGTCACGTCATTATCGTAATTTTAGTTTTCGCTGCTGAAGCAGCTCGTGAGGCGCATTTGCGTCTCCCCTCGTCTCCGCGTTCCGCGCTGAACCGCCAGTGACCGTCGCGCAGCTGTGTAGTCGTAAACTGTCTGTTCTGGAACGCACCTTTTTCCGCTAGTGCAGCCACCCATCGCCCTTTCGCGTGTCGCGCCACTGCGCGCCGCCAGCGCCACCCGCCATGGAGGCAATCGCAACTGCGCCTCTGCGCGCCGCTGCGCCGACAGTCGTGCCCTCGGGCCAATGGCTCGGCAGCAAACGGCGGGTGCTGCGTGCGGCAGTGCGGTGCAGCGGTGCTGCCTCGGGGTGTCCGCTCGTCAGGTGCGTCGCTCGACCTCTCGCCCATTTGCCCACTCGCCCACTCACGCACTCTCTCCCACTCTACTCTGCTCCTCTCGTGTATCGCGTCTCGCCACCCGCTCGCCTCTCAGCGCCGATAGAAGCGCCCCACTCATCCCTCCCCTCTCCCCCCGCGTGCTCGCGTTGCAGGAGATTGCCACGTGCCGGACTCCCGTTGGTGCGTGCCCTCTCGTCAAAACGCGTTCTATGGATCGCCAATTGCCGAACCTTTGGCGGCGGCAGCGGCAGCAGCAGCAGCAGCAGTAGACGACAGGCAGGAAAGGCGCGGGCGGAGGGGAGGGGGAGATACGAGAAAGCGGGGTATGCGAGCTACGGGGAGTGGGACCCGCGCGCAGGGACAGGCGCGGAGGGGGAGGCGGAGGAGGCGGAGGGCGAGGGGGAGGGCGAGATTAGCGCAGGCATGGGGGCGGGGGAGGTCGATGATAGGGGTTGGCGGACGGCGGAGGAGGTTCGGCGTGAGGTGGAGGCGCGGAGGCGAGCGGAGGCGGAGGCGGAGGCAGTGCGCGCAGCAGTGGAGGAGTACAGAGACGCGGAGGAGTTTCTTATAACGGATATAAAGGAATCCGCGAATCCAAATTACCTCGCATCGCACCAGTCGTATCCCTCCCCCTTCATCTACATCCGCCCCGTCTGCTCGCGCCCCAACGAGGGGGAGCGCTTCCCCCGCGCGCGCAACCTGCTGGTGGGCGAGGCGGACCCGCTGGAGCGCGTGCGCGCGCACATGGCGCGCGCGGAGGGGCGCGAATACGTGCCTGCGGGCATGGGGGATGGCGGAGAGGGAGGCGGAGGCGAGGACGAGGAGGAGGAGTGGGGGGAGGGGGACGAAGCGGAGGAGGAAGACGAGGGAGAGGAGGGGGAGGACGAGGAGGAGGGGGAGGGGGGGTTGGCGCGCAGCGGGGGGGGCGGGCGGTTCTGGGAGGAGGAGGAGGACGAGGCGTGGGAGGCGGAGAGCGCAGCACTGAGGGGGCTGAGCGGGTGGGCGCGCATGCGAGCCGCGTGGGCGCTGGAGGACCGCGAGAGAGACGCTGCCGCCGCTGCTGCTGCTGCAGCCGGGGGGAAGCAGTTGGGCGCTGACGGGCAGGGGTTGGTGCAGGAGAAGGGGGCTGCGGGGGGAGTGGGCGCGTGGGCGCGGGGGGAGGCGTTTGTGGGGGAGGTGGGGCCGTTGGAGGTGGTAGGGGAGGAGGAGGTGTGGTGGAACTGGGTGAAGAATGAAGGCGAGCAGCAGATCTGGACCGCCTGGCAGAAGGAGGCCGCCACCACCGATGCGGTGCGCTGCGGTGGGATGGGATGGGATGGAATGGAGTGAGATGGGATGGGATGGGATGGGATGGGATGGAGTGGAGTGGGACGGGATGGGATGGAATGGAGTGAGATGGGATGGGATGGGATGGGATGGGATGGGATGGGATGGGTTGGGATGGGATGGGATGGGATGGGATGGGATGGGATGGGATGGGATGGGATGGGATGGGATGGGATGGGATGGGATGGGATGGGATGGGATGGGATGGGGTGGCATGATGGGTTGTGTAGGGTGTGACGGGTGGGTGCTGCAGGCATGATGGGAATGGAGAGGCTGTCACCACCACTCATGCAGTGGGTGCAGTGTGATGAGTGCGGTTCAGTGCAGTGCAGTGCGGTGTGGTGGTGTGGCGTGTTTTGTTTTGAGGTGTCTCTTGTGAGGCGTCTGTGAAGTGGGGTGGTGCAGTGGTGGGGTGGTGCTGCAGTGTTGGGGCGGTGGTGCATGCAAGCACTGATGTACGGAGGGGCCAGGCCAGCACCATGCTCTCACTGCGTGTGCAACCTGCAGGCGCTAAGCCACTTTGTCTCCCCTCCTCTTCCTCCCCACCTCCACTCCCCCTTCCTCCCCCCTCTTTCCCTCCCATGTCCCCCCCTCCCGCTCCCCCCTTCCCCTGGCAGGCCATGGCGCTAGCAGCAGCGGAGGCGGGGCACATCAAGCTGCACGGCACGGCGAGGCCTCTGCAGTGGCGGACCCCCTGCGGTGGCATGTCCTTAAGCCACTCCGTCTGCCCTCCTCTCCTTCTCCTCCCTCTCCCCCCCATCTCGCAGGCCATGGCGCTAGCAGCAGCGGAGGCGGGGCACATCAAGCTGCATGGCGACAAGCCCAGCACGGCCGAGGCAGTGCTGGCTAGGGTGCGCCGCAAGCCCCTCGCAGATGAGAGGTGCGCGCAGTGTGTGTGAGAGGGGTGGTTGAGGGGGCGAGGATCATTGGGTAGACTGTGAAGGCCGATCCCAAGGACATTCGAGTCGACTCAAAAGAGTCCGTGCTTTCCACGGTGCTGCAAGCCCCTCGCTGATGAGAGGTGTGGGCGGAGGGGTTACCAGGCGAGGACAGGTTAGGCGGGGCACTGGCAGAGAGAGGTGAGGCTGTGAGGGAGGGATTTATCCAGATTGTTCCCACGCTGAGCCATGCAAGGAGTGCAGCTTTGTACCGTGTGTGCCCCCGGCTGTATGTAGCCTCCCTCATTGTGCCCTTCCTTGTTTGCGTCGCTGCAAGACCGGCCAAAGGAGGAGAGCGCGGGGCAGCAGCTGGACGACCTGCCTCTCTCCTGCGCCCCCCATGTGCCCCTCACGTCTCCCTCCTGTGCCCCTGTGCTCCCATCCCCCTGTGCGCCCATCCCCCTGTGCTCCCATCCCCCTGTGCTCCCATCCCCCTGTGCTCCCATCCCCCTGTGCGCCCACCCCTCTGTGCGCCCGCCCGCCCCCCCTGTGTGCCAACCCATGCCCCACCAGGCTAGCCAAGGAGGAGGAGTTGCGGCAGCGGCTGGGCGATTTGGCATGCTACCAGGAGTGGGTGGCAGCATGGCCTCACGACACCCCTCTGTGCGCGCACCTGCCGCTTGTGTGCTCGCTCCCCCCGTTGTGCACCCACGCCCACTTTGTGCACCCATCCCCGCTTTGTGCGCACACCCATGCGTTTCCCAGACTGGCAAAAGAGGAGGAGTTACGGCAGCGGCTGGGCGACCTGGCATACTACCAGGAGTGGGTGGCGGCGTGGCCTCACGACACGTCGCTCAAGGCCGTGCGGCGCGTGGCGAGGGAGACAGGGCGACCCATGGAGCACCAGATCCTCGACATGCTTGCCATGCAGGTGCACGGTTACGGTGGGATGGGGTGGGGTGGGGTTGGGTGGGCTGGGGTGGGGTGGGGTGGGGTGGTGGAGTGGGGTGCAGTGCTGTGGGATGGGGTGGGTTGGGGCCGTGCAGGTGACATGCGTGGGGCTGGCAGGCGAGTGGCGAGGGAGACAGGGCGGTCTATGGAACACCAGATACTCGATATGCTCGCCATGCAGGTGGGGTAGTGGTGCCATGCAGGTGGGGTAGTGGTGCCATGCAGGTGGGGTAGTGGTGCCATGCAGGTGGGGTAGTGGTGCCATGCAGGTGGGGTAGTGGTGCCATGCAGGTGGGGTAGTGCTGCCATGCAGGTGACATGTGCCATGCAGGTGGGTGGGCGTGCACACCCATGCTGCTGGCCATGCGGGTGCAGCACATGTGCGCATGGATGGGTGGTGTGTGCAGCACATGTGCGCATGCATGGGTGGTATGTGCAGCACATGTGCGCATGGATGGGTGGTGTGTGCAGCACATGTGCGCATGCATGGGTGGTATGTGCAGCACATGTGCGCATGCATGGGTGGTATGTGCAGCACATGTGCGCATGGATGGGCGGTATGTGCAGTGGTATGTGCAGCACATGTGCGCATGGATGGGTGGTATGTGCAGCACATGTGCGCATGGATGGGTGGTGTGTGCAGCACATGTGCGCATGGATGGGTGGTATGTGCAGCACATGTGCGCATGGATGGGTGGTATGTGCAGCACATGTGCGCATGGATGGGTGGTGTTTGCAGCACATGTGCGCATGGATGGGTGGTGTTTGCAGCACATGTGCGCATGGATGGGTGGTATGTGCAGCACATGTGCGCATGCATGGGTGGTATGTGCAGCACATGTGCGCATGCATGGGTGGTATGTGCAGCACATGTGCGCATGGATGGGTGGTATGTGCAGTGGTATGTGCAGCACATGTGCGCATG